CACCGATCGTTTGGGTCCCTCCCTCCCGCCCTGTCCGATTGACCGGGGGGGAAATGAGCCGCCAGCCACTTCACTTGTCAATCCAGCCCCTTATCAGCAGGCAACACCACAGCTCCCCCATACACATAAGCGGCCAAACATGTGCCACCAGTCATACGACCGATGGAGCTCCCTGACAATTGTCATACATACGAACAAGGAGACACGAGATATTCTCTTGGCTTCACTGTCGCTCTCGGCTCGCCCGTCTTTGCTCACCTCGTGAGTATTCTTTACGGCCGTCCCGTTTTTCCGCCTCAGATAGATGGTCCACGCAAACGACGCGACTCGAGATAGAACCGTCACAAGAGTGAAGAAGGCAGGCACAACAAAGAGTATTGGGTTGCTAGCCTCCGTCGCCCACACGATTGTCAGCACCAAGATGGGCACTTCCAGCAGGGCAAATGCCACAATCCAGATGTGTTGGCATAGGGAGGGAGAGCCGCGGATGGAATAGTGAAGAAACAGCGACACAAAGTCGGCCCACGATATGAACATGATGACATAGCCGGCAACTCCATAGCCTTTTGTTACTTCGTTCACGCACCCCCAATCCCACTCGACCCCACAAATGGATCTCCACTGGTCAAGTCCACTCCCGCTGGTCAATTCCACTCCCACCGCCAAATCAGTCATGAAGTCCACGGCCATCCCCACGACGGCCAGCAGTTTGTACAACCGAATGAAAGTGAGATAGTCCATCCGTTTGAGCCACCGCTTGACCACCGAGCGGTAGAGGAAGGGCTCTGTCTGCCGAGCCTTGGCTATGCGCTCGGCCGTCGCCGAAGGTCTCCAGCCTGCCCGACGGCCGCAGCATGAGAGCCGGTTGTGATCGACGTCGATTTCCTTTACACCCGTTGATGTGGTCGATGCACGGGTAACCCGCGGCTCAGAGATGACAACCAGCAAAGTGAACTGCAGAAGGGCCGCTCCAGCCAGCCACGCCAGTGCGGCTAAGGGGTCATCGGAGAGGTCGCCGGCAGTCCCGAACTGCTGACGAGCCGATAAATAGATGAGAATGGTGAGGACAATCGAAATATAGACGACGCATCGGATGCCCCACCAGAGAGGCGGTGCGCACAGACTTCCCAATCCAATCAAGAGCACCTGAGATGGCGATGCCCAAGTCACAACCATCAATCCGATGTTTCTCCCTCTTCCATCAATCTCAAGACGGAATGGGATCTCCTCGCTCAAGTGGAAGAAGTAGAAACAGCCTCCCCACCACCAGAATGCATAGATCACGACGAGGCCGATAATGAGAAGGAAATGCCTGAGAGCGTAATCCCTCAGCCACAAGGTCACACAGCCAATCCGCAGCACCAGAAAGCCCCACAGGTCACCCTCCTCAGCCGAAGCATCCCCGTCGCCAAGCGGAGCCCGGCCGTCCACTGCAGGGGTGGAGACCGATGTCGAGACGGTGGTGGGAATGTCTGAGAGCCGAGCGCCGCCTTCGCCATCTCCTTCAGCTGGCCTTTTCGTCGTGACGTCCCCTTCAGAAGCTGATTGTCTGAGGACGTCTGTGTCTGGGGGATCAGCCGTGGCAGGAGGAGGGGCGCTGACAGACGTGGGCGGCCTCATGCCTGCGTCACTGGCAGAGCTCGATCTGGAGAGCCGCTCGGCTCCCTCTCCTCCGCGATCCGAGCAGGGATTGGGCGTTAGGGCAGGCGCCGAATAACGCGCACACGACTCAAAAACCACGAAAGAGGCACATCCAGCTCGCCACATCACCCCCCTGCACCACACTCGAACGAGCTGCACAAAGATCTGCAGTCAGCGATTCATTTCCCTCTCCCTTTGTGTGCCATCTGTTGAGTGTTCTGCAGGTCAGTCTTCGGCCGGCGTCACTCGACAGGATGAATGGACTTCTCTATGCCGTACAGTGGAAGAGGGGTACACCGATGGAAACCCTGCAGTAGTCAGTTGAGTGTGTGTCTGTGTGTGCGCATTTATCTCAGTCACTCACTGCAGAAGATCTGCACTCCTCCTGGCCTTGCTGGTCGCCCTCCCCAATGTGTCGCAGGGACACTGCGGCAACCGCAGCGAGAAGCGCCGGCAGATCAACGACGAATCCAGGCCTTTATTGGGCATGACGCCTTTGCCACACTGGTGGTTGTTATTGTGTTGTGTCCTGGACTTTCTGGGTGGCTCTGGCTCGTTGACGCCACAGACGCCCACCCACACACAGATTCAGCAAGAAGGCAGTGCGTGGAAGTGAGAGAGAGGGAGCAAGGACCTTCTTCTGTCTCACATCCGTCCATCCGTCCCCGCACCAACCAACACACTACACTCACAGAAACAGAGGGCCATCCTTTTTTCCTTCTCGCCTCCATCCATCAGCCCCTTCGTGTGTATTCACTGACCAGCTCCACAGCACACACACACACCGTGACGTGTCTGTCTGTCTGTCTGCTTGTGTCATTGTATAAATTAATATTTACGGTGATTTTTCTTTGCCCCCATTCCGTGTGTAAGATGGGCTCGGGGGAGGCACTTTTTTACAGGTGTGGTGTGGTGTGGTGTGGTGTGTGTCATTGGTGTCATTAATGTCACTGTGGGTTTGTCATCCATTGTATGTGACTTTAAGTGAATGGGCCGGGTGGGTGGCATGCGCACGTCCATTCGTGTGCACGGCACGGCACGGCATGGTGTGTGGTGTTGTGTGGTGTGGCGCGTGTCACTCATACAGTGACCACCCACCGATGCGGTGCGTGCCTGCTTGCCGACCGGCCGATTCACATCACACAGACCTCATCTCTCCCTCTGCTTCCTTGCCTCCTTCCCGACCGACACTCGTGTGCGGACAACTGCTGTGAATGCATCGATCTGCCTGATGAGGGTTCGCAGTGAAGATCAGTTGGTGCAGTCGTTGGTTCAACCATTCAAGCAACACTGATACGATCGACCCATGCAGGGAGTCACATATAGACACAGCCGGCCACTCATGAGCCAGCCAAACAAGCACCACACGCACTCACCCTCTGTCAAACTGACAGAATTCAGCGTTGACGCAGCAATACCTTCGCCCGTACGCACATCCGATGGCATCGATCCCCTACCAAGGACAAAGACAGCAGCACACTTTTGTGTCCTGGTTTCCGATAGCGACGTCTCGCTTGTTACGGATGATGGCATGTACGGCGTCAAACGTACGACAAAGAGGACAGACAGGCATCAGACACTAGCAGAGTTCAGTAACACGCCGAAGGGCACCTGATTGAGCTCCCGGGGACGCTGGCCGGTGACAACCAGGCATTGGCCACTCCAAAAAAAGCCAGTAAGCGACATCGAGACAAGAGCCGCCACACAAGAAAGAAGGCATGCATGGCCCCAAGCATCGTACGAGAGAGGATAGACAGGCGAAAGACACCACGCCCTAAACCCGGTCGCGTCGAATCAGTGGATGAGCCTCCGTGTTCAGAACCTGGGAAATAATCAGCGAACACGCAGTGAGGCAGCATTTGCCGAGCTCCTTTCTCTTCTCACCCATTTGCTGAGGTCGAGCGTCTCTCGCTCAGAGAAGAGCAAATAGAAGTATTTGAGCGTCTCCGCCATGAAAAAGGACTGGGCAGGCAGGCAGGCAGGCAGGCAGGCAGACAGGCAAGCGACACACACACGCACATACACACATGCAGACAGGTCCCGTCCATCCACTCGTCACGGCCACCAGTGCACATGTACGTGCGCATCATGCAGGTAGTGTCTTTCTCACCTCCGTCGCATCTTCTTGCGACTCCGGGTCGTTTGTGTCCTGCAAAAAGGAGGGACACATCAAGGCGGAGAACGCCTCAGTTTGCGTCCCCGCACCCGCAAGATTGCGTATCCGAATTTTCCACGACACGACGACTGACAGCCATCACAAACTCAGAGCAATGTTGTTGCCACGACGATCTCTCCCCTCTTTTGTCGCACCCGTATTCCCTTCCACATTGTGGCGCCCCATTCTCTGAAGGAGAAAACATGTGTAACACGCCATGTGTCACTCCATGCCTGATGCATACCTGTATTTCGTCTCCCCAGTGAAATACCACATCAAGTACACGCTTTCTATTGCCTCTGGCCGCAACAGATATCGCCTGTCGCCCCTGTTCGGATCGAACTCCACTGGCGCCGAGGGATCAGCAGAGCGAAAGACAAACCGCTCCCGCCCGACACCGGTAGCACTTAGGTAGTAGGGAAGGAAGCCTATGCATGGGAGGAAGGGGGCAGGAAACATGAGACATGGTGATGAGGCGTACATCTATTCACGACGAGGCCGTGATTTGCTTACAGGCCTGGGTTATTGCCTCGGCCTGCTTCATCCATTGTATCTCTTTGGCCTTGGCCATCTCGAGCTCTCTTTGCCCCAATATAACCTGCACACAGGAGAGAAAGACAGCACACCCAGGGATGGATGGATGGATGGACGGGGGCACACGCATACAGGGTGGGAGACGTGGTGTTTACCATGCCCGGTGCGAAGCACGCTAAGTGCTCCTACGTTCCCGCGAGAACACAAGGCAGTTGATGACTTCCCCACCTTTGCATCAGCATACCATTTCTAGATTGGAAGGATCGCTGAAACCGCCTGGAGCAGCCACAACCTAGAAAGCGTGTGAAGGTGACGGCCAAGAAAGAGAAACACACAGACGATCTCTCTCTTGGTCGATCTTACTGTGACGGCTCCCGAATTGTCCATCTTGACAAGTTGCTCGAACATCTCGTCCATCGCCAGTTCCCAGTCTGTGCTGTACTCCTCCATACCCGTTTGTTTGAAGGTACCACTTCAATATGTACTCGTAGTACCTGGATCAGCAGTCCCATCATGACTCCAATGCGTTGGTGTGTCCTCACATACTCAAACTCGCCTTGTCGCCTTACGAGTCAGCGCCGCCTCCCATGGATGCTTCTCCGCCTGCCCCCTTCGGCTCTTCAACGTTGAGAATATTCATGAATCTGCAGTCAACAAGACAGAGACAGCAGATGTTTGGTTGCACGGCTGTGCGACAGTGCGCCATTACGGCAATAAATTGTCATTGCCTCCCGCCTTGCGTATCTGCAGATACGCCCGCCTCGCCGCGTCTTTGAACTTGGGATCGCCCGTCAGGTCCGACAGAGCAAAGAACTCTAGCTGAAAAGTGCCGACCTCCGCAAGGTTGACAATGCAATCCTTTGAGCATGAGCTGGTGCTCAAGTTGATCTGCCGACAAGGGAAACCGGATGCCGCGTCGATTCCACGGTACAGCCGCTCTCCGATGTCGATGGCCTTGGCCAGAAGGCCCGGCCTTCCTGACAACGATGCAGCTGCACACACACACACACACACACACACACAAAAGAGAGACAGAGAGTGAGATCTTTATGTATGCATCATCCACACCCAAAAGTCCCCTCACATGATAATAAGCCACCCAGAATACGGATCGTAATCTCACTGAGCGGACAAGAGCAAGACAGCAAACTTGCAACGCGCACTGACTCGCACACTCATCCTCTTACAAGAAGGAGAAGGTCATTGCTTTGTCGAAGTCCAAGTTTTTCTCTATGTAACGTGCGGCCTCGCTAAATTCGTCGAGCTCGGACATCAGATAAAGAGTGTCGAGTGACTCTACCATCATCAGCATCATGTTCATATAGTTGTTAGGCGTTCCTGAAAGTGGCTCGAGCTCGTCAAAGCCCAGCGCCAGCTCCTTGTAGTGTGACCAAGTCCAAAGGAACTCGTCGATGATTTCTTGTCGAATCGCTGTGGCGTTGACGGCAGGCAAAGTGATAGATAATGGGAGAGACCGCATCGGCATCTCGAGAGGCCGCATGGCTTCACTTTCCCGCTCGCTCTGCCGCGCCTGTCGCCACCTTGTGCTATTCACTTCGGCCTCCATCTCACAGCTGTGGCGCCGCTGTTCCTGACTCATGACTCCAGGCCCGTCAGGGACAGATTGAAGGAAGGCGGCGGTGAGATTCTCCAAACGTGCGACCTGCTGGCATGACATCTGGTCGACGGTCACCACCCACAGGAAGAGAAGGAAGCTCAGCATCCTCTTGATGACAGCGGCCTCCTCTTAATGCCAGCGGCCTTCCGAATGACGCGTTTGCGGATTGTTTGTTGGCCTTCACTACGCCCCAGATTTACACGCGTACGGTCCCGTGCTTCTGTTCTACCCAGCGCCTGGCCTTGCTGGTCAGATGAGCATGGAAGCGTCCTCCATATGCACTTGCGGGGAAAAAGCCGCCGTGCATATGCGAAACCCTGCAGCTGTGTGCGCGTTATACGGTGCCTGCCCAAACGCCAATCCCCGCTCGGATCGCGGAGGAGAGAGAGGAAGAAAGGCAGCAGAGAAAACTCACAAACGCACACAGGATGGCGACCAACACGCAGCCAGAAGGGCTCTCACTGCATCAGCTGACTTTTCTCTCTCTCTGTTCTCTCCGTCCGTCTGGCTATGTGTCTGTCTGTCTGTGAAGCCGCCGTGATTTGGCTGCCGAGCTCACTTACTACACAGCAGATCTGCAACAACGGCCTTCAAGCATCACGTTTATTCGCACGGCTCTCGATCTCCAAGATCGGCTCTCCGAGTGGAGGCAGATATGAGGCCGCCCACGTCTGTCAGCGCCCCTCCTCCTTCCACGGCTGATCCCCCAGACACAGACGTCCTCAGACAGTCAGCTTCTGAAATGGACGTCTTGACGACAAGGCCAGCGGAGTCACCGGAGCATCAATCGGAGGCTCAAGGAGATGGCGAAGGCGGCGCTCGGCTCTCAGACATTCCCACCACCGTCTCGACATCGGTCTCCACCCCTGCAGTGGACGGCCGGGCTCCGCTTGGCGACGGGGATGCTTCGGCTGAGGAGGGCGATCTGTGGGGCTTTCTGGTGCTGCGGATTGGCTGTGTGACCTTGTGGCTGACGGACTACCCTCTGAGGCATTTCCTTCTCATCATCGGCCTCGTCGTGCTCTATGCACTCTGGTGGTGGGGGGGCCTTCTCTACGTACTTCTCGTTATCCTTGGCTCGGCAAACAGAGCCCTTCCTGTACCGCTCGGCGGTCAAGCGGTGTTACTCACCATCGTGGCGATCAATCTGGCGACTTTTGCACCGCCGTCTGTGATGCTCCTCGTTGGATTGGGAAGTCTGTTTGCACCGCCTCTTTGGTGGGGCACTCGATGGCTCATGTACTTCTCTATCGTTCTGACAATCGTCGCATCCGGAAGCCTGTTAGCTGGGGCTTATGTGTCCCTTGCCGAAGGCAATCCCTTCGACAAGAACGGCCACAGCGATCCCTTCGGCCTGCGCTTTGGCACACTGGCATGGGCGGCTGGTGCGGTGCTTCTGCAGTTCACCCTCTTCGTTGTCTTGTCGGAGCCACGCATTGCCCGTGCATTGACCAGCCCGACGGGCGGAAGGGAAAGCGATGGCGATCACAACCGGCTCTCGTGCTGCGGCCGTCGGGCAAGGTGGAGACCCTCGGCGACGGCCGAGTGGATAGCCAAGGCTCGGCAGACAGAGCCCTTCCTCTACCGCTCGGTGACCAAGCGGTGGCTCAAACGGATGGACTATCTCACTTTCATTCGGTTGTATAAACTGCTGGCCGTCGTGGGGATGGCCGTGGATTTCATTACCGATGCTGCAGTGGGGTTGGAAATGATCTTCCAGGGGCTGGAAGAATTGAACTGGTCGGGGGACCCGGAAGCGCAAGGCCTAGAAGGAGAAGCACAAGGCTATCTAGTTGTCGGTGGCGTCATCCTGGGCCTATCGCTGGCTGATTTCATATCGCTGTTTGTCCATTATGGTATCCGCAGCTCTCCCTCGCTATGCCAACACATCTGGATTGCGGCCCTTGCCCTGCTGGAAGTGCCCATCTTGGTGCTGACGATCGTCTGGGCGATGGAGGCCAGCAACCCGATACTCTTCATCGTGTCTGCCTTCTTCACTCTGGTGACGGTTCTCTCTCGAGTCGGGCCGTTCGCGTGGAGCGTATATGTGCGGCGAAAAGTCGGGACGGCCGCAAAGAATACTCACGAGGTGAGCAATGAAGAGCGAGCCTTCAACGAGAGTGAAGCCAAGAAAGTATCTCGTGTCTTCTTGTTCGTATGTCTGACAAATGTCAGGGAGAGCCATCTGTCGTAACGGATGGCACATCTTTGGCCGCTGATGTATGGCGGAAGTGTGGTAGTTTCGCCCGGTGGGTGGATTGGATTGACAAATAGCTAGCTGGCCCGGTCAATCGGACAGGGACGGAGGGCCCAAACGATCGGTGGATGGACGGATGTATGTGTCTGCAGATGCATGTCCGTCAGTCAGATGCTTGTTTGCATTTTGCAGCGAAAGGTGTGTGTACTGTAGTATCATGGTCTTGCCTCGATCGAGGCCCTCTTATTGGCTGATCGACATGCCCGTCTGTCTGATATGTATGGGTCGTTACTTACACTCTTTTGATGTCGCTGGTCGATGTGTGTGTGTGTTTCCGGACCGATCGGTGGCTGAATGGCAGGCAGATATTGAGGTCGTCGGGTTGTCTTGGCAGCGAATTTGATGAACGAATGACCCAATGGATTTACCTCTGACAGTGTGTCTGTGAATGTGTGCGTCTGTCTGTCTGTGTGTATCTCTCACTGTGTGTGTCTCACTGTGCGAGCGTAGTGTGCACGGTGTGTGCGTGTGTGTGTGCATCCATCACACACGCCCTCCTGGCTGCGCACACCCATGCATCCATCCCCCCTGACAAGGGCTACTCTGCCCCATTCTGTATGTGTCTCTTCCTGCACACATAGCACGTTCTCACGAGAAACAGACTCCTTCTCATTCAGACTCGAGAATGGCCAGGAAGTGATTGAATGAGTCAACGATTGATTGATACTGTGAGTAGATATGAATCAGCCATTTGTAGACGGCGTGTCGAATGCCTCTAGATCTATGTGTTCGTACCTGGCCGCCTCATGCGTCTCTGAACACAGGCAACACAAGAGCAAGAACGAGCCAGGCCGGTGGTCGCCGGCGCCTGTCTCCCATTAACGTTGATTCCATCCATTCAATCACACAGCCACCCACCCATCGATATCACGCACTCACTCACACAACAAGCAACAAGCAATCATGTGTCTCACCTATAGCTAACGGTCCTATCAATCTCACACTCGTTCGCAGCACTTGGCGACTCACCAATCGCACACGTGACCAAGACAGATGAGATGGTTTGAGATGCAATCGTGACGTCCTCTGGTATATGTTTTCGACTTCGCAGCTGTGCGCCTTTTGTTTCAGTGTCCGGGAGCCCGATCGGCGAGTCCTGCCTCTCTTAGTCGCTTCTCCGTGTGTATGCATGTGCACGTGTTGTGTACAGAGAGGGGTCTTCTGGCCAGTGCTTGATTGCGTGGTCGGTCTGTGTGTATAGGGAGGGAGAGGGGGAGGGGCATGGATGGATGGATGGATGCGTGCGTGAATGTTGTCGCATGAGTGTCGTCCCCTTTCAGCACGTCTGTGTCGTGCTGCTTGGTAGACACACACTGCTTGCAGCGAAGACACTCAACCAGTCAATTGCCGCCATGTGTTCAGAATCAGAAACCGGTGGGTCCATCACACGCACACACGGAAACAGACATACACCAGCCACGCCGGCCATAAGGAAGGCACACCTTCTTCATGGTGATTCCTTGTTGTACGGTGTGACTCGACAGACAGCCTGACGTCACAACACACACGCGTACACAGAAACGCCCTGAATCGGTGTCCTGCCTCACAGGCCACCCTGACCGTTTAAGAGCCACGAGTTGCCTCCAGCACAATTTCTCCAGCATATCGCCCATGGTGGATGGTGAAGTCGCCGATGCTCGTGTCGCCGGGGACCACCTGCCAGATGGCATCGCCCACATCGCCATGCACTTCCAGCCACAGCCGCACACGCCCCAGGCCCCGCACGCCAGCGTTGAGCAGAGACGTCAGGCCGCTGCTAACGAGCTCGGCAGCGCCAGCGGGCTCCAACTCATCAAGGACTGAATGAACACACACACACACACACGCACGCACGCACAAGGCGGATGCACACACAGGATGAACCGACGAGCACCTTCCTGTACTCACTATATTCCCGGCATACCTTCTAAGTACATCTCTATGTCGCTAATTGCTGGCAGGCTATTCGACCCCCGGCCACCGAAGGGGCCGCCCTGCGTGAAACTGACCGCACCCCACAGATCATCACCCACACAGACCTCGGCCACCTGCCTCCCCGCACCCAGCGCTTCCAGCACACCCCTCCTGTCCTCTGCGCCCACATTTGAGCCGAACGCCACCGTCCCCACCTTCAAGGGCATCTTCTCTGCCAGCAGCCGGCCCGCAGCAGCACCCAGACCGCTGTAGACACGCAGCTGTCTGGCCCTTGGGAAGTGCTGCAGGCGGTTGATGATGTCGGGGACGGGCGAGCCGGAGTCGGGAGGGGGGACGAAGCCATCGGCATTTTCAACTGTCACGTACCCCACATAGTCGAATGAGAGACACTTTGCGATGTCGACGGCCGCCTGGCTGGGGTTGACGATGGGGTGGGTGAGGTCGTGCTGACTGAGCCTGTAGACTACGTGGCTCGCCTGCCGTGCCGCCTCCTGGATGGCCACCTTGATGAAGGGGGAGGGGCGAGGGGGGAATGTGTCGGCGTAGAAGAGGGACAGCTCGAAGGGGACCCACTCCGCGCCCTTCACAGTGATGGGCACGTCAGGCGACACGCAGCAGACATTGATCAGGTCATCGAAAGCGAGCAGGGCGGCAAGGGCAGTGGTTTCCGCGAAGGCTGGAACCTCCACGTCGAGCCTCTTGAGCGACTTGAGGCAGCCGCGCAATGTGAGCACATCCTACAGATGAAAAGAGACGGACACCATTCGTGTCCTTATCAACCCCTATCAAGCCTCTCTAGTGTGATTGTGCTTACTCGGAGCCGCGCCGTTTCGATGCCATGCTTGATCACGCCGATACGCTCTAGTTGTCTGAGCGGCCCTGACTGGCCAGGAGCTGCCATGGGTATGTGCGCAAACACAGTCGCCCACTGCCCGTCCCGCAGATGCCCCCCCACTTGTTTCAGCGATGACGACGACTTAATGAATCGGCCCAGCTCGCTGGTGGTCCACTCCTCCTGATCCACACACTCGAGTGCGGGCATCTTCCATCCCCTCTCGGCCAGTACACTGTGCTCCTGGACGGCTCCTGTGACGGCCCTGAGTGAGGGGAGGGTCGGTGGCGGGGCGAATGGGGGAGGAAGGTAACAAGGCGGGGGCCTGGTGCTTGTTGTGGTGATGCTGCTGCTGAATTTGATCGTCTCCAGACTGCCTTCGGCCATGTGCTGCTGGCCCTCCTTCTCGCGCGCTTCACGCCGCCCGGCCACATGGCCCTCCACGATGCTTGTCATGATGTCCAGACAGCAGAACCGCTCGTAGCGTGGCTGCACAAGGCTGAGGGCCGTGAGGTTGATGAGTCGCTTGCCGAGCTCAAAGGCCTCCTCAGGTGTGATGCTCTCCCAGAATTGGCGGTCTCCATCTGGGGTGCAGTCGATGTCGATGTGGGTGTGCTGCTGGAAGGCCCCCTTGCGGACTTGCCCCCACTGCTTCAAGAGGGGTGCGAGGGCCGACAGCTCGCGGGCGGTCATGAAGCTGATCACTGATGCCAGGTGGTCGTCGCCAAAGCCAGCAGGAGCCTGAACCAAAACACAGAACGACGGGAGAGGAAGCCGCATGAGAATGGAAGGCGGTCTTTGTGTGTTGTCTGTGGCTGTCTTTGGCTGTGTACCTTCTTGCTGTCATCCCACACCTACACCCACCCACATGACACAACACACCCAAGCACCAAAGACAAACGTCAAACAGTGCTCTCCGGCACCTCTCTGTTGAGCTGTGTTTGCCTACCATGGGTGGCTGTGGGTTCGCGTTTGTGAGCGCCGTGGCCTCGGTGTGCGGCACCATCACTTTGAACTCCTCACGGTGTCCGCCCACCTCCCTCATGTAAACCGCCGTCCGTCCACTGCTCTCGTCGATGCGATAGACGTCGGCCTTGACCCACCTCTGCTTGCCCTTCTCCCGCTCGTTGGTCACCATCTGCACACGACTGCCCTCCCGGTAGCGGCACGGCGCAGCGGACGCCATTGCCTGACGAATCGAACAATCAAACGATCGAAGGGATGAGTCAATGAGTGATGGTCTGACACGCGGTCTGACACGCGGTAGTGTCTGCCTGTTGCACCTTGACTTACCTCGCCATGAGGCAAAGCAGACGAAGATGAAGCAACTGACACGGCGCCACTCAGACGCCGCTGACACGTGGGACAGTGCAAGGGGACAGATGCATCACTCTCGTTGACCATTGACACCCTCGTGTTTTGCTTCTTGCCAGTGAGGTCTGCTTGACTTTTCTCACTGTAAGAAGGCGTATTCTCTATTGCGAATGGCCAGCGGCCTCCACAGGACACTCACGCTCACTCAGTGGGGGGAAAAAGTCTTCTCAGTAGCGATGGTCTCTCAGATCTGCGAGCTTGGTTTTGGTTCATCCGCTGCCGGCATCTGCCCGATGCATCAGTCATGGAGCAGACGCACCTGCAGCAGCAGCACCCCTTTTCATTCATCTTTGTCGGGCGCCGCACTTTCTACCTGCTCAGCCTCACGGACATCCTGTGTCTGAGAGGCACGTCCACATCGCTCAGAGATCTCTTCGGGGCGACCCAACTGCGACATCGGCTCCGCCACTCGCTCGGCTCACAGGCGGGGCTGCGGCGGGCGGTGAATGGACCGCAAGTGCAGCTGCTGCGGTTCGACGATGACCAGTTCGGTGTTCATGATCTGCTGGCGGCTGTGTGTGTGATGGAGGAGGGGGGCTTGGTGGAGATCGGAGGGGTCATCGAGCTGGGGGCGCATTGCGGTTACTGTAACCTGCCTGTCATCCTCACATCCGATGACATCAACAAACACGCCAACAAGACCGTAAGGCACACACCGACTCACAAGGAGTGGGAGATACCAGAGTTGCCTCATTGATGTGTCTGTGATGTATGTTGTCGTGTGTGTAGGCGTATGTGTCGATTTCCCGTGTGTTGGCGCAGCTCATGGTGGTGGGGCGCCACATCGACTTCGGTGACGGCAGCCGGCTGCAGCTGTTCCTCCACGGCCATGAGGTGCGGGCCATCAGTGACGAGCCCGACTTCGAGCTGGACTTTAACCCGCCCCTCCCTGCCGGCCACCAATACCGGCAGCACCGACGACGGGACGACCCGCCAGTGGGCAACAGCATCTACTACAACGAGTTCGACGGCACATGGAGGAGTGGGGTGGGCGGCGACTTCACCTATGCGTCGACGTCGTCGTGCGCCGAGCGTTGGATCCTCAACCACTTCGAGGGGACTCACCAGACCAATCGCACATCGATAAACCTCAACAGGTAAAACATCAATGTCACCAGTGGGTGAGAGGGGTGCGTGTTTGATTGTGGGTGTGTGTGTGGTTGGTTCAGGTATGTTGGCGGCGGCCGTCTTGATGCCCTCCTCACCCAGTCGCCCCACACACCGGTGGTCGGATGCAGCACCACATTCAGCCGGAATGGTCGTGAGCGATACCTGGTGCTCACCAATAGCACCCACAACTTCGTCGCATGGATTTACATCTGAGAGTTGGGAAACAACAGAGGTCAGGCCGACAGACAGACAGACAGACAGACAGACAGAAAGACTGACAGGCAGCTCTGGTGGTCACGTGCCGCAAATGTTCTCTCCCTTTTGTGTCTGCAGTGGACGTTCATGTGTGGACGACCGAGTCTCCTGTGTCTGGTGTGGGTGGTGTCTTCAAGCACAGCTTCCGCCAGACGACCGCCCTGGCTCGTGTGGCGCTTGGGGCTGTGGGACCTTACGTGTTCGACGGACAACAGCCGCCGCAACAGCCACAGCAGCAGGGGGGCGACGATAGTGATGATGGTACGGACAAACAGAGGGAGGGAGGGAGGGAGGGAGGGCGGAAGGGAGGGACACACACGAGAATGGATGGATGGATGGATGTGCCTTCTTTGTCTATGTGGTGTAGATGAGGACGGCCATGGCGGTGGTTGGGACGATATGAATGGCGACGACAGCGGAGGTACACAGGAAGGAAGAAACGAAGGAAGGCGCACACAGCGCAGCACCGATGCCCTGTAAGGTGTATGTTCCTCTGTTTGACAGGTGAGGATGCATCAGCCGAGGACTGGAACCAACCCACACCGGGGCAGGGCAGCATAGACTAGACAGGTAAGGTACACACACCACAGACAGAAAGATATCTATCTGCACGTCTTCTGTGCTCCAGCTGATTGGGTCTTGCCCTCCTCTGCTCTGTGCGTGGCATGATGGTTGTCTTACAGGAGTGAGGATGACTGGAGTGCTGGGTTCGTCGTCTCTTTAGCTGGCTGCCCGGTCGTCGGCTCGTGGACATCCGCAACTCACTCTGTGGCTAGGTGCCTGAGGGGCTGGGTGAGTGAGTGGTTGGGTGCGTTGGAAATCACCCAGGCATTCTTGTCGAGAGACCGGCTGACATGACACCTTCATCCAATGGCTGTGTCGTGTTGCCTTGCCGACCTCTTTGCGCTGTGCAATTCCTCCCCTCCCTCTCCCTCCGTGTCGATACTTATTGCCTGCCTCCCTCTGTCTGTCTGTCTGTCTGTCTGTCTGCCCCTCTGTGTGTGTTCGTATGTGTATGTCCTCTGTACACACCAATACATACGGATGTACACACACACACACACTCATATGTATATATGTCCATCGCGGATGGATTCCTGCGTCCATGGCCTCTTTGTCGGACTGTGTTGCCTGTTCATGGCTTCCTCTCTGCTGACGATGGCTGGATTTCCTCTCTAGCTCTCTCTCTGTGAATGAGTGGCTGGATCGGCAATGATTTGACTGTTTCGCTTGATGCAATGGAATCGATCGCCGTGTGGTACTCACTGACTGAGTCACTGACTGACCGGCTTGATGGTTGGCTGTAATAGGATGTTTGTGTGCAGAGGACAGACTTTGCACTGACCGTAACCGTCGCCGCCTCAGCACCCAAAGACCCAAGCACACTCTCTCAGATGAAGCAAACGCAATCGCCAATGACCAACCGTCACACTCTCTTATGCCGACTGCATCTGCGCCTCACATACAGTTCATCGGAATCTGTTCGATCACTGCGAGCTTTGACGAGCGAGATTGGGCGTAGAAAGTAGCTCCTTGCGAATGAGTGAGGGCGATGGGCAACACCGTCCCGCGGAAGACCAGCGACGAGGCCTCGCCGTCCATCCACGGCCAGTGCCTCGACTTCATTCGCCGGGACGACAGATACCAGCTCTACGACGAGGCCAAGGACATCGGCCGCCTCAGAACCGCAGCCCGCTTCGTCGGCAATGACCACTTCCCTGCCCAGACGCTCCGCGAGCGACTCAAATGGTCACTGCATCGCACTCGGCTCGCCGATGGGAGCCGGCTGGACACCGTGATAGCCTTCGACCCGCAGTCGGTGACCGAGGCGCGGCTGCTGCTGGCGGCCATGTGGATGGTGGAGAAGCAGAGGTGGGAGGAGGTGGCTGAGGTGCTGCGGTGGGCCAGCCAGTGTGGATGTTGCACCCTGCCCGTCAACGTCACCGCTGACGATATCAACAAACACGCCGACAAGACGGTGGGACTCACAGGGCGGGCGGGCGGGAGGGAGGGCGGGCAAGAAAGGGCCTGATTTACCCATTCATGTGTGTGTGGTGTCGTGTGTGTAGGCGTATGTGTCGATTCCCCGTGTGTTGGCGCAGCTCATGGTGGTGGGGCGTCACATTGACTTCGGTGACGGCAGCCGGCTGCAGCTGTTCCGCCATGGCCACGAGGTGCGGGCCATCAAAGACCAGCCCGGCTTCCGGCTCCCCCTCAACCCGCCCCTCCCGCCCGGCGACCCGCACCACCGACTACACGATGACCCGCCGGTGCACAGCCGCATCTACTACGACGGCTGCAGATGGAGGACTGGGGTGCTCGTCACCTATGCGTCGGTGTCGTCGTCGGCTAAGGACATGATCCTCAAGCATTTCGTTGAGACTCACCAGACCAATGACACTCCCTCAATAGGTAACCCACCGATGGCACCAGTGGGTGAGAGGGGTGCGTGTCTGATTGTGTGTGTGCGTGTGGTGTGGTTGGTTCAGGCATGTTGGCGGCGGCCGTGTGGATGCCCTCCTCACCCAGTCGCCCCACACACCAGTGGCTGGATGCAGCACCACATTCTGCCAGGACGGTGATCGATACCTGGTGCTCACCAACAGCACCCACACCTTCGTCGCATGGATTGTCATCATTAACCACTGGGGGACCAACAACGGTCAGACAGACAGACAGACAGACAGGCAGCTTTGCTGGTCACGTGCCACCAATGTTCTCTCCCTTTGTGTCTGCAGTGGGCGTGGTTGTGTGGACGACCGAGGCGCCAGTGTCTGCTGTGGGTGGTGCCCTCAAGGACCGCTTCCCCGAGACGACCGCCCTGGCTCGTGTGGCGCTGGGGGCTGTGGGGCCTTACGTGTTCGACGGACAGCCGCCGCCGCCGCCGCAACAGCCACAGCAGCCACAGCCACAGCCACAGCAGCAGGGGGGCGACGATGGTACGACGGGTACGAGACAAAGAGACAGAGGGAGGGAGGGAGGGAGGGAGGGAGGGACACACACACGTGTGGATGGATGGTGTAGATGGAGACGTTGGTGATGGCGATGCTGATGACGGTGATATGCATCCCAACGACGGACAAGAGGCCAGCAGAGGTACGCATCACAGCACAGACCCCCTGGCTCCTGTCGATCTGCATCACTCGTCTAGCTGTGTGTGTGTGTGTCAGGTAGCGACGAGTACTCGGAGTGAGTCATGAGGCGGACACGGCTATGGAGGCAAGAGGGGCTGTCGAGGCCGTCGAGTGCCCACAGACATACAGACAGTGTGATGATACGTGGATCGGTGCGTGGGGGTGCAGAAAAGATGGTCTCCATGGCTGGCTGCCGGGGGCTATGGTGTGTGAGAGTGTGGCCGTCTGTGTAGAAGAATTGAGCAGCCCACCAGCTGAGCCGCTGCATGGGGGTCTGTCTACTCACTGGTATTGTTTGTTTTGGCAGTGAGAGTGTGAGGCGCCACACAGACCCATAAGTCTGACGGGGGAGGGAGCAAACCAGGGAGACAGGCAGCACGGTTCCTCACCTTGTCGTCCAACACACACAGAGCATCCTCTCTCTCTCTCTCTCTCTCTCTCTCATCCGTTGACTCTTTGTGCACAGCACAGCACGTGTGAGGGCTTTGGTGGATGGATCTTTGTGTTTGGGTCGGGCCCACTGTGCGCCCATCGACCGGTTGCAACGCTAATCCATCTTTGCATGATGGGTGTGTTGGTATCCCGGCCACACACAGATGACAGAGGAGCGCACCGCCAACCGATGTAGGACCACTTGCTGACAGACAGAGAGAGAGGGAGGGAGTGGTGTTAGCAAGACCATCCATCCATCCATCTGTGGCGCATTGTTTGCTCCATTCCATACACATATACATCGCCGTGTGTGTTTCACACTCGTGGCCCATCCACTCACCCACAGACAGACAGACAGACAGACCGCGGCCATGCAGTCAGTCATTGTTGCCTTACTGTCGGTCGGGGCGGCTTCCTCTCTCTCTCTGTGTTTCGCTTTGAGTTCATATCTGTGTGACCCTCTGCACGGCACTCGGTACGGTCGCCGAGGCGCTTTTGCCGAGGGCTTTCATGTGCACAGCCACAGACACTGACTGGAGTGATGCGCTCCACTTCTCCTTATTGCTCGTGGTGCGGGGATGGATGGCCATGTGCTCACGACAGGTCGGTCTCTGCTGCCTTGACTGCCTCAGTTTGACTCTCTCCCCCTCCGTGCGTATACGTACAATACACCGTACATACATATGATATGTACATCACACTGATGCATTATGTATGTGTATATATATACCTCGCTGGCTGGGTGGCTGGCTTGCATGCTGCCTGGCCATGGTGTGTTGCCCTCCTCTGTCTGCTGGCCGGTTTTGACCTGATGCCTCGGCCGACCGCTGTGGGTGTTTGTGTGAGTGCCTGCCTGCATGCATGCATGCAGTACGTGCTTTTTTCGACTGATTGCTCGTGTGGATGACTTTTGGAGTGAGAGCACGCCACTCAATCTGTGTCTAGCTGTCCATTGAGGCATTATGCGGAGGGGGTGCATCGTGCCGACCGACCGACACTCACCACCCCTGAGATGATAGATATGTTGGTGTTCGTCACACCACACCATGCCACACCACACCAAAGTCATTCGCTCGTCCCTCACCAACCAGCATTCTGCCAATCGTCCATCGATTTGCAAACGCTCGCCACGTGTTCTGTCACATACACACCATCGCGTCTACTTGCACCCCCACCACATGCCGCAGAGCATCTCGGGCAATCAATGTCGCTGATGCAGCTTTCATCGACAGACGAGGCCTGTGTTTCCGCACTTTGCAGCTATCCATCCCGGCTTGTCGTGGTGGGTCTTCAGCTCCTCGATTGACACATCGCCACACCAGTTGACACGTCGGTCGGGGCAGTTGACCTCCTGCGAGATGCTGGTGCAGACGGCGTGCTGGTCGTTGGAGTAGCGGTGCCTGGCAGACACGCATTCGGTAAGACGGACGTGATCGAGGTCGCAAAGCGGCTTTGGTTGGCTGGTTGGTTCTCGCGTCCGTGAACCTGGAGGCATTATAGAAGCGAAACAGCACACGCACACAGCCATGAATGAGGATGCTCACGCAACGATGGGCCGTCCGCTCACTTACTTGATGCCGATATAACATCAATGTGTGTTGGGCAAGTCGGTTCTCGCCGTGCGGCTACGTCACCACTTTGAAGACAAACGTTATCTTGAGCTGCTGGTCGCCAAGCACGACGAAGTCGTGCCACACACTAGAGCCTCGCCGAGCTAGAGGTCGACCACACACTCGAGCATGCCATCGGACAAGCTTTCGAACGATTGGTTCTCTGACCTGCTGTTTCACCCACGCAGGCGTCAACGAGCCCGAGCCACCCAGAGAGTCCAGGACAATAACACCCACGAGTGTGGCGTAGTCGCCATGACCAACAAAGGCCTGTATTCTTCGTTGATCTGCCGGCGCTTCTCGCTGCGGTTGCTGCAGTGTCCTTGTGACACATTGGGGAGGGCGACCAGCAAGGCCAGGACGAGTGCAGATCTTTCTCCAGCGAGCGCCTGAGATAAATGCGCACACACACAGCCACACACTCAATTTGAGTACTGCAGGGTTTCCATCCATCAGTGTACCACACGGCGGTGAAGAGAGCGGAGTAGCCCTCTTCCCCTGTTCACTGCACAGCGCAGAGAAGTCCATTCACCCTGTAGAGTGACGCGGCAGTACACTGACCTGCAGAACACCCAACAGATGGCACACAAAGGGACAGAGAAATGAATCGCTGACTGCAGATCTTTGTGCAGCTCGCTAGTGTGTGGTGCAGGGGGGTGATGGCGAGGTGGATCTGTCTGTTTTTCGTGGTTTTTGAGTCGTGTGCGCGTTATACGGTGCCTGCCCTAACGCCGAAAGCCCGCTGGATCGCGAGGAGAGAGAGCGCCCGCAGAGAGAGTCACAAACGCACACAGGATGGCGACCAACACGCAGCCAGAAGGGCTCTCACTGCCTCTCAGCTGACATTTCTCTCTCTCTTTTCTGTAAAGCCGCTGTGATTTGGCTGCCGAGCTCACTACACAGCGGATCTGCAACACGGCCTTCGAACATCGCGTCTATTCGCACGGCTCACAGGCATGAGGCCGCCCACGTCTGTCAGCGCCCCTCCTCCTTCCGCCACGGCTGATCCCTCAGACACAGACGTCCTCAGACAGTCAGCTTCTGAAATGGACGTCTTGACGACAAGGCCAGCGGAGTCACCGGAGCATCAATCGGAGGCTCAAGGAGATGGCGAAGGCGGCGCTCGGCTCTCAGACATTCCCACCACCGTCTCGACATCGGTCTCCACCCCTGCAGTGGACGGCCGGGCTCCGCTTGGCGACGGGGATGCTTCGGCTGAGGAGGGTGACTTGTGGGGCTTTCTGGTGCTGCGGGTTGGCTGTGTGACCTTGTGGCTGACGGACTACCCTCTGAGGCATTTCCTTCTCATCATCGGCCTCGTCCTGATCTATGCACTCTGGTGGTCGGGCGGTATTATCTACGGACATCTCGGCAACCTGGAGCTCCCGGTGGATATTCGGCTGCTCTTTCCCGACCCGCTCCCGGCGATTGTGATGTTTCCACTGCCGTCTCTGATGATCCTCGTTGGATTGGGAAGTCTGTTTGCACCGCCTCTCTGGTGGGGCACTCGATGGCTGATGTACTTCTCTATTGTTCTCGCCATTGTCATATCCTGGATCATCTTAGTGTCGGTTTACACCTACGCCATTCCTCATGATCCCATTCGTTTGCGGTTCCCAACACTGGCGTGGGTGGCTGGTGCGATTCTTCTGCAGTTCACTTTGCTGATATATATCTCGGAGCCGCGTATTATCCGTGCATCGACCAGCCCGACGGGTGGGAAGGGAAATCGACGTCGATCACAACCGGCTCTCGTGCTGCGGCCGTCGGGCAAGGTGGAGACCCTCGGCAACGGCCGAGCGCATAGCCAAGGGTCGGCAGACAGAGCCCTTCCTCTACCGCTCGGTGGTCAAGCGATGGCTCAAACGGATGGATTATCTCACTTTCATTCGGTTGTGTAAACTGCTGGCCGTCGTGGGAATGGCCGTGGATTTCATTACCGATGCAGCAGTGGGGATGGAATTGAGGAGCTGGGTTCCGAGAAGTGTATGGCGTGCATATGCTATGTGTGGGTCCCCCGAATATCCGCTGTGGAGTGACGCTGAAGAGGAGTGCTTTGATACCACGATGAGCCGTCTTCGAAGAGAAGAGCAAGGCTATCAAGTCGTTGGCTTGATCATCCTGGGCCTATCGCTGGCTGACTTCGTGTCGCTGTTCGTTTACTTTTCCATCCGCGGCTCTCCCTCGCTATGCCAGCACATCTGGATTATCGCCTTTGCCCTGCTGGAAGTGCCCATTCTGGTGCTGACGATCGTCTGGGCGACGGCGGCCAGCAACCCGATGCTCTTCGCTGTGTCTGCACTTTTGTCACGGTTTCATGGCGAGTCGGGTCGTTCGCGTGGACCATCTATGTTCGGCGGAAAAACGGGACGTCCGCGAGCAATACAAACCACAAGGTGATGAGAAGAAGGGCGAGCGAGTGGGAAACGAGTGAAGCCAACAACAGACGGCATCTTGTGTGTGTTTGATGTCAGGGAGGGCCATTGGTCGTATGACGGATGGCACGCTGTTGGGCACTTATATATGTGTGCAGTGCACCGGGGGGAGTTGTGGTATTCCCTGCCGGTGATCGGATTGGATTGACAAGTGAAGTGGCTGGCGGTTCATTTCCCCCCCGGTCAATCGGACAGGGCGGGAGGGAGCGACCCAAACGATCGGTGGATTCCACCGCCAGCCGCAGGACCGACTTGTGCCCGGGTCCATGCATGGCAGTCACATGTTCGTTTGCGTTTTGCAGCAAAGGTGTGTAGTTTCATGCCTTTCGGTTGCTTAGTCCTTCTTGCCTTGAGGCTCTTTCTCTTCTTCTGCTCGTCGACATGTGATGTGTGTCGTCATTACGTTCGTGTGATCTCCTTCTTCGGTTTGATGTGTGCTGTGGATCCCCGGTGGCCCGCTGAATGGACGGATGGATGGCATGACGCAGGGATCTTGTCGTAACGAACGAACGAACGAACGACTCTGCGAGCTTCAAAGCTCGAAATTTGAGCGCAGAAGGACGGGGAATAGAGCGTCCGGATGAGAGATGGAGCATAGGCACAGAGAGATGGAGATGCGATGCTGCGTGATCGATCTCCGCTCGTCATCTCGTCGTCCGTGAGTTGATGAGTCACAGCGACGCCGCCCCGCCGGATGCATTCCTTTCAGTGACCGTCGTACACATCGACTACATCCACCAACGACCCATCCATCCACTCGATCTGACAACCACAACCACGCGCGTCGGCGGCCAACCCATCTGTCGGGTGCCTGTGGTGAGAGTCTTCGGCAACACTCTCTACGGGCAGCAAGTCTGCGTCCACGTCCACGGGGTGAGGCAACGGAGAGAAAAAGCACTGCGGGAGAGAGAAGAAGTCGCTGGCATGGTCGGTGCGCGTGTGAGCTGTGTGTGTGCAGTATCTTCCTTTCTTCTACGTGCCCTTGCCGGATGAGGCAGCAGACCAAGGTGGGCACTGCACCACAACCACTGGCGTGCATTACACGACACACCTGATGCATGTATGTGCTCTCTTCTTCCCTCAGAGGAGCAATTTCTGAAGGCCTTCTCTGAGGCCCTGGAGCGAGCAGCGCAGCACGATGCGTCGACCGCTGCGTCGGGTCCTTTCATCTACGACATCTTGGTGGTGCGCAAGGTGGGCATCTACGGCTACCAAATGCGGGCGCAGAAGTTCGTCAAGGTGGTGCTGCTGAGCCCTCGCCATGTGGTGTGGCTGGCGGCCATCCTGGAGAGGGGCGACGTCCTCTCAATCAGATTCCAGCCATACGAGGTACGCGAGCTGACACACACGAGAAGATGGCACCTGTCGTGTGGGGAGTCATTGTCCGTCGGCCGTTCGTCTGCAGGTGCACATCCCCTACCTACTCCACTTCCTGGCTGACAACAATCTGCGTGGAATGGACCGCATGCACCTCTCGGCCACTGACATTCTCTTCCGCAAGCCCCTCCCCGACATAGCCTGGCAAGACCGGCCCCGGCGCCACGGAGGAGGACAGCTGCGGGATGATGACCTGATGGGCTGGATGCCCGGTGTGTGGAGGAGGCCGAGGCGGGAGGTGCAGTATGAAGGAGTGGAGGAGGGCGGCATGGGCGGCAGCAGCACGCCAGAGAAGCCAGTGGGGCCTGTCAATGCAGGTATGCAGGTGGTCAGGGAGGGCGACAAATGGACTGGGGAAGCAGAGAGGTGTGGGTGTGTCTTGCTGCGATTGTGGTCAGTCAAGTTGACGTCGGCAACGAGGCACTTGTCGTTCCACAGCCCGCGCAGTGGCGTGCGCAGGGAGGTGAGTGGCCGACAGACACATCGCACCACGTGGCCATCTCTCGCTGCTTCGGTGGCTCACTCGCCCGTTCTCTCTGTGTGTGTACTGTCTGTCCACAGTCGTCATGCGAGGTCGAGTTTGACGTCCACGTGTCGTCCATCCTCAACAGCCGCATGGGCATCTCATCCACCAGGACCAGCCCGACTCCCTCTCAACAACCCGCCGCCCCGCCACCCCTTAACCCCCACTCCCCCATGCACACACCATGGCCAGACGACGCCGACCTGATTGACTTCGACCCATCCATATTGCAGGGGGGCACCCTCGGCGGCAGCAGCAGCAACAAGAGCCCAGAAAGAGGGCCACCGTCGCCGGGTGAGGGGCAGTTCACCGCGAGGCTAGCAAGCTCACTGGAGGCGATATGGCGTGACGAGAGGGCTCGGTGCGGGAGGTTGGGTGTGCGATTCCCCTTCACTCCCCCGCCATCGCCCGGACGGACTCGGGAAGAGAGTCATGACCTGGTGCCCGATGACTACAGACAAAGGTACCCAAAATGGCACCAGACAGAATGAATCAACACGGACGCCTGCATATGTGTGATGTGTGTCGGGTCAGGTTGGCAGATATGGTCAATGCGTGCGTGCAGCGGTCATCAAGTGCGCCATCCTCGCGTCATCGTGGGGGGCGGGCAGACGAAGGTGGCGCGAGGAGGCTGAATGAGCAGCTGGACGCCCTCGGTGGGTCGTCTCCTCACGAGTGGAAAGATGAGCAGCTGCTGAGCCAGGACATTCTATCGCAGATAAACACGGTAGGCGACCACTGAAATTTGCTTGGGCTCCCGTACCTACCTGTGCAGTTTTGCCTCCATCCATGTGTGCATGGCGTGTGTGTGCCTTCAGCTTGACAGGGCCATCCTGGACGGTCTGAACCGGATGGCGCATCTGCAGCCCCCTCCCCCTCCCCCCCGTGTCCCACCGGCATGTCATGACGACAGAGACGACTTTCCCGATGACGCCCTGCACGCTCCATCCCTCAACGGCGATGACCTACACAGAGAGGACCCCCTGACCCTCGAGGAAGAGGACGAGATAAGGGCAGCCGAGGCAGCCGAGGCGCGCGCGAGAGGGGATGGACCCGCGTCAATCGCACCGACCGAGCCGACGAGCGAATACGATGACGAGGCAATGGGGGAGAGAGCTGGCGGACAGCACGTGGCCCCTGCCGCCGCTGCTGCTGCTGCTGCTGCCGCTGCCGCTGGTGGTGGTGGGGTGGACAAAGGAGAAGGCCGGCTCTCTTGGGAAGGGAGCATGTCATTGGACGTCATGGGAGAAGAAGAGTTGGATCAGTGGGAGCGAGCATTGCTCATGGCGCAGCCCGATGACCCCCTCCGCATCCCTCTTTCCCTCGCTCTCCCATGGTCGCCTCGCGCTCTCCCCCTCAACCCTGGCGACGCCGCTGACCTCCCTAACACCCCGCCCGACTTACCCCAACCGGCAGCCGGCGGTGCCATGGCGCCAATGGCATCCGAGGCCCCTGCGCCAGCCTTCGCCTTCGACCGCGGCGAGCCGCCGTCGCCGACCATTCCTGCGTCAGGGCCTGAATCTGATGAAGAAGTGGCAGCACCACCTCCAGCAGCTGCTGCGGCGGCGGCGGCAGCTGGTGGTGGTAGTGGTGGTGTGAAGCGGGAGCGGGCCATGGGTGACGGTGAGGCTCAGCAGCCCTCCGATTGCCGACGGACGAAGAGTGCCAGGCGGCAGGAGGGCGGGTCGATGGCTATGCCGCTTGTCATTGCCAGCCAAGACAGCATTCGCGGTGACGATGATGCGCGTCCGGGCGGTGAGGTCGAGCATCATGACCAGGGGGACGACAGCGACTGCATCCTGGTTGAGAATGGCGAGTCGCCACGCTACAACCCGCCCATCGCCGACCAGCAGCAAGCTGACGACATCACTCCGACAGTCCCGGACGACGCCAGTGACGACAACAGGCCCGTTGCCGATCAGCCGGACCCTCGTTCCGTCATTGTTCTGGACTCCCCTGCCACAGGGCAGCAAGGCTCTCCGGCTCCCCTGTTTGCCGCTGCCACCCCTCCTCACTTCAGCAATCCTTATGACATCCCCAGGAGGCCCGAGCATCAGCTGCTCGAGCGGCACCAGGAGAGGGCCAGGAGGGTCGCTCGGATGGGCTGGTGCGGCGTGGTGGGCCAGCTCGGCAGAGGGCGGGCTGGCGGGATGTACAGCTCGCGATTCGTCTTCAAGATGCCCTCACCGTCGGTGGATGAGGCCATCGACTCCTACCTGGCCAAGCACCCAGACCGAGCGGCCGTCCTGCGGCCAGGTGGCGTCGGCGCCCATGTGGCCAGGAGAGGGAGGGGTTACAAGAATGTGCAGAGGGTTGACAACAGGGGCAGGATGGTCTTGGAAGAGGTCCCTGTTGACACGCCTGCTGCTGACGGCGTGCGGGCTCCCCAGAGAGGGACTGTCCCGCCGCTGCCGCCCTTCCCTGATCTAGGCGGTGGGGGTGTGGATGTGGGTAATGTTGAGCGGCAGGGGGATGAAGGCGAGGCTGCGCGAGACGGTGGTGGCGATGGTGGCGTGAGGGGGTCGCATGGGAGCTCCCCGTCCTTCCACCGATCACAAATGAAGTTCGGCTCACAGCAGGTATACTCATGTGGTGCGATCTGACCAGATGACTTGTCGCCCTCTCTGTGTGCGTTGGTGTCTGCCTCAGCTCAGCCCACCCACGCAGGGCATGCAGGCAGCTCTGGCGCCCAAGCCATTCGACCCTGGCAGCCAGAAGGTCTGTGTGACGGGGCCGGACGGCGCTCTCCCGCCCACATACGGCACCCTCATCTCCCTGGAGGTCCTCGCCGACTGCCAGGTGGGAGTCGCTGACACGCAACGGCCACCATTAACCATCATGCCATGTGGCTGTGCTGTCATATATGTCATAGGGCGACGCCCGTGCTGAGAGGTCCGACCCCAACAAGGACACCGTCCTCGCCGTGGCCTACACGATCCGCGACGAGCGCGTAAGGGCCCAGTTCCAGCAGCAGGGAGCCACCTACCACGACGCACAAGGCGTCATCTTCATCGGCACGGCACCGCAGAAGGACGACACCTACACCCGACTCGCCCTGCCCTCGAGGATCGACCTGGAGGCCGTCGACAACGAGCAGGATCTCTTCAGAGCTGTCGTGGGGTTGTTCAAGAAGTTCGACCCCGCCATCGTGATGGCATACGACATCCACAGGGAGTCCCTCGGCTACCTCGCCAAGCGGGCCGAGGCCATCGGTGTCGACCGGTTCGTCCAGAAGGTCTCGCGCACGCCACCGAGAGAGCACGACACCCGGCCGGCCCCCGCAGCCGCAGCCGCCGCTGCGGCAGCGTCGTCTTCAGCGGCGAAGGCCCCAGCAGATGGTGGCGCGAGAAGGGCACAGGGGAGGGGCTTTGGAGAGCTCCACTGCACCGGGCGTGTGCTGCTGAACGCGTGGCGGATTGTCGAGCACGAAGTCAAGCTGGTCAACTACGGTTTGGAGGCGGTGGCCAAGGAGCTGCGTGGCGTGACGGTGCCTCACTTCCCGCCAAGGACGCTGAGCGACTGGTGGGGGTGGCGGGGGAATACTGGCGGGGCCCTTTATCCATACCGCGCCAAGGCGATGCAACACGTCCTTAGGAAGTTAGTGAGCATCTGGCACAGAGAGAGAGAGGGAGGGAGAGTGGAGATGCATTGGCTGATTGATGGATGTATGTGTCTTGTCGTGTGTGTGCAGGACCAAGCTGGCGTTGGATCTCTTGGACGCGCTTGATGTCTTCGATCGCACCGGTGCGCTGGCCCGCCTTTACGGCCTGGACTTCATTTCGTGCCACACGCGCGGGAGCCAGTTCAAGGTCGAGGCGATGCTCATCCGCGCGTCGCACCGCATGGGCGTGCTGCTGGCGTCGCCCAGCAAGCAGGCGGTCCACGACCAGAAGGCGGGAGAGTGCTTCCCACTCACAATGGTAATGCTCAGCTGCAGGCACCAACCACCCCCCCCTCTCTCTCTCTGCGTGTGATGATGATCAGGAGCCCAAGTCGGCTTTCTACTTCGACCCAGTGGTCGTGTTGGATTTCCAGTCGCTGTATCCGTCCATCGTCATCGCCTACAACATCTGCTACTCCACCTGTCTGGGCAGCGTCGAGGTGGACCCCATCGAGACGCCGATCAAGCGGCTCGGCACACACGACGTGAGAGTGACGCCCGAGATGATTGCAGACATCGTCAGGGCATACAGACAGAGGCAGGGCGCCTCACAGCTATCAGGTGAGGGTAGACAAGAGAGAGAGAGGCCCACACACACGGGGGGCGGGGGGGAGATGTGAGATGGCTTTGTGGGTGGGTCTTAATTGTGCAGATGTGGCTCGTCAGTCGGCGATGGACCCTTCGCATGAGGGCGTCCGCGTGCTGGCCAACGGCGGCATGTACGTCAGCAAGAGGGTCCGCCAGGGCATCCTGGCGCAGCTCCTAAACGAAATCCTCCAGACACGCATCATGGTAATCCACCTGACGAAGACCAGCCACCTAACGAACACCAGCCACACGCCAGCCCCCCAGTCACATGCCTTTGGTGGGCTTTGTTCTGTCTTGTCTGTCTGTGTGTGGGTGTGCAGCTGAAGCGCAGCATCAAGAAGCACGCCCGCTCTGTGGACGAGTCCGTGTTGCGTAACCTCAACCACCTCCAATACGGCCTCAAGATGATAGCCAACGTCACATACGGATACACAGGTGGGTATGCGCACACCCACCAGCAAGGAATGGACCGACACACCCTCGTGGACATGTCTGTGCTGCAGGTGCGTCCTTCACTGGCCGCATGCCGTGTGTGGACGTGGCCGACAGCATCGTCCAGACGGCACGGAGGACCCTCGAGCGCACTATCCATACCGTCAACAAACACCCCACGTGAGCGAGCATCAGACACACGTCAAGCGCACATGCACATGGTGCCGTAGGTGGAATGGCGAGGTTGTCTACGGCGACACCGACTCGATCTTCGTGCTCTTGAAGGGCCGCTCGCTGCGGGAGGCCTTCGACATAGGGAAGGACATCTCCGTGACCATCACGCGCCAAAACCCAAGGCCGATGGAGCTGCAGCTGGAGAAGGTGTACCTGCCCTGCTGCCTCGTCACCAAGAAACGGTCGGTAGATGGCAGACACCGGAAGGGACGCTGGGCGAGTCCACGCCATATATCACATCACATCATGTGTGTGTGGGTCCAGGTATGTGGGTTACAAGTACACCAGCCCCGACGGCATGCCCACATTCGACGCCAAGGTGCCTGTGTGGATGGATGGATGGATGGATGACTGTTTGTCGTGTGTCAATTGTCATGTGTCAGGGCATTGAGACCATCCGTCGCGACCAGGCCCCCTGCACGACCAAGGTGATGGAGAAGGCTTTGCGCACCCTGTTTGAGACCAAGAACCTCAGTGCCGTGAAGGAATACCTCTGCCGCCAGTGGCACAAGATCTACAGCGGCAAGGTGCCCGTGAAGGACTTCATCTTCTGCAGAGAAGTCAGACTTGGTCAGCCGTCAGTCAGTCCGTCAAATGGACACGCACTCCACAGCAGAGAGACAACAGCAAAGACAGCAGCGAAGCCGACAGTGTGTCTGTCGTGTGTGTATGTCTGTCTGTCAGGTTCGTATGCCGCTGACCGCGGCGGCCCCTCCCACACGCTGCCCCCAGCTGCAGTGGTGGCCCAACAGGAGATGGAGGACGACCCCACGGCCGAACCTGAGTATCGCGAGAGGCAGGCATACGTGTTCCGCCACGGCGATCCCGGCGCCCGCCAGACTGACACCGCCGTCCCTCCAGACGGCGTCATGGGCGGCTGGAAGCCTCACACACCCCTCCCCTCTGACAGCGCCCCACTCGCCAGTGGCTCATCGTCAGCCCCGCCGACCTTCCGCATCAACGCCAACCTCTACATCAAGAACCAAATCATCTCGGCGCTCGACCGGCTGTTCCATCTGCTGGGCGTGGGCAAGCACCCAGCCCTTGATTGGTTCAACCAGATGCCCAAGCCGGCCAATGCACGGCTGGGCAGTGCCAGCCCCACTGGCGCAGGTGCGCCACCCGGTGCGGCATTCGGCAGGGGACCAGGAGGGGCCAGGAAGGGCAAAGCGGGTGGCAACCGTCTGATCACCGACTACTGCTCCAGCAAGCAGTGTGTGGTCTGCGGCAGTGACTGCAGCGCCCTCAGCGGAGAGGATCGCGCCAGGCGGCACGCCTATGCGGTGATGAGGGAGGGCGGATACAATGCACAGCCGGTGGGAGAGATCGAGGCCATCGCAGCCAACCCGCCCCCCATCTGTGTGTCGTGTGCTGAGAGCCCCGGTGCGTCAGTTGCTGAGCTGTTTCGACGGCTGGAGGTGAAAGAGTCGAGGCTGAGGGCCGCGGAGAACCTGTGCCTCCACTGCGCCGGTGAGATGACAGAGAAAACACGACGACAGACACGCACAGGGGCGGTGTGCTCATGGGTTGTGTGTTTGGTGGTGGTGGTGGGGGGG